TGCTTCAAGGGTTCCCTGAGCAGGGTTCGGAGAAAGAAATCTAGCCACATCATCAACAATGTAACTTCGGACCCCTTGGCATTCACCCAAGCGAATTGCCGAAACTTCTCAAAATTGAAATTCGATTTCGTGAAACTCTTCAGGGTTGGACATTTACCCTCAGCAAGACACCACATTCTGTACATGGAGTATGCACGTTCCAGACGGGCTGCGATGCCTACAGATTCCCCATGACCAAAGTCAAAGTATGTCATAGCTGCAAGTCTTACAATTGTGCTGGCAACACAGTCCCTGAACACTCCAAACTTCAACACATGGAAGGCATCAAATTTGTAGAGGCCCGCAGGAAATCGGCTTGCATAGGGGCACCTGTTCAATGGCGGCAAGCTTTCCCACGGATCGCTAATGCCTACAGTGCGCAACCACTGCGGCTGATCCGAGACATCGCTGAAGCTGACGCCCGCCGCGCCTGCTTCGCACAAAGGACAAATCATTTGATGATTGACCAAGCCAGTGCGATGGTAGCTACGATTCAAGTTGGCAGCCTCAAAATGCCACTCAGCGTCTCCCTTTGCTGCAATGAAAGCAAATTTGAACTGGAAGCCAGATCTCTCATGACCCAGGCCCTCTTCAAAAAGCTGCTGCAGTTGCGAAGCCACTTCGCTCAGGAGGCTTGGCAAGAGCTTCTCATTGCGGTTGTACACTTTAGAGGGCACGGCAGCTATCAAAAAACGGCTGAGAAAAGAGTGCCCCTTTGAATTGTGTCGCTGGTGATTCTCTGCGCCTTGGTGGTTCAGGGTACCCTGACATCCCAAAGTGCACTCAGCAAAGCTCATCTCCTCAAAGCTGCGTTTGCCAGAAAACTTAGCACGTTGTTTGCAGGTCCAGTTCAGTTTACCATCATGACGCTGCTTCTTCGCAATGGTTTTGTTGTCATAGGCGCATTGTTGGAGTAGCTCAGGCGGAAGGCCCCATGGTAGTTCAAAGGACAAAACGAATATAGGGCTCTTTTGAAGCGTCCGACCTTTGTCACCGTGTACCATTATTGGTATGCATTTGCTGCGAGCTTCTTCGGACAGCTCAGAGACTACATGGTGAGGGTTGTAGGTCCCGAAACGAGACCAAAACCTGCTACACAAGTCCGCGCTTTCTTCAACACGAAGACCACCCAAAAGAACTTCTTCGTACCGGTTCAGCAACAATCTCAGGTAGTCCGGAATTTTCAAATACGGGATGCTCAAGCCATCCTGGCCAGAACTTTCTGTGACATTCAAATAGGAAATGGGCACTCGAAGGGCTAGGCCATAGCGTAGAAACAGGCGGTGAGCATTGCGCTCACTATGGCTTTTGTCCACCTTTGCAGCATCCTTCAGGCTGGGAACCATGCAACCATCGTGGAGCACTGCCTGCGCCAACTCGCCCACTGTGCAGGCAGGGGCCTCGCGCGCAGATTTTCAAGTGACTGGGTGTAAAAAAACATAGACTGCGCAATTTCATGGCAATTATATTTATTAAAATATGCGTATAATTTAGTATTCTAACGTACTATGGGGGATATATTTCAGAACTGGAAATCTTGATGACATTCGCGCCCATGCATGAGACCCAAGCTCCATCAGCCACACGTTCTGCGAGAACTTGAAGCGCATGTTGGGCTACGGGCAATGTGCCTGGCAACGCTGTAAGACACCGGGGTTGTCTAGAGACCCGCGCAAAGCCCAAAGCTTTGATCACAGTATCGTGCAAAATTGCAGGTATTACTTTTCTGGCGCTTGTCAAGCAAAACTTTGAGAAGATGCCACTCCGCAGCTCAAAATTACAGGTTCTCCAGACCCAAGCGAAGAGAAGCTCAAAACTTCAACAAGCCTCGTGGAAACGTGTACTGATCGCCTCGCTCAACCTTGTTCTCAGGCCTTCTTCGCACGCTTGGATGGTGGCGGCTTTGCCGCAGGAGAGGGCTTCGGGGCCGGAGCTTTCACACGTGCACAGCTCTTACCTTTAGCCGGGGCAGGCTTGTCAGTCTTGTCCGACTTCTTGAGCACCGTCCTGTAGAGGGTTTTGGGAAGAATGAGGGTTTCAACATCGTAAATGGGCCATGTATGTTGCCTCAAGTGGTGTCGCCAGCAAAATGCAAAAAAAA